GCAGAGTCTTTAAGTGCCCGAAGGTAAATTTAAAAATTAGTGTTTGTTGAGAATGAGCTTTGTGGACCGTGAGCATCTATGCCACCAGTAAGGTATTAGAAGAACCAATGGAATTTTCATCGAAAACTTGAGATGTTCCGTGCATTCGATACAAAATTATCAGACCTTCCCCCCCCCCCCCCCCCCATACTCCTGAACACACCCCATATACATGCAAATAAAGTTTTAACATAAATCTTGATATTTTTCCATTCCACTACAAGTTTTTCCTTTTTTGTGTGCAAATTTGAAGAATTTTTCTTTTCTTTACCCTTAAAACTCCTCTTTCCAAAATTTTCTTAAATTTTCCTTTAGATGAATGATTTTTTAAACGCTTTGAAATTTACCAAATGCTTGAAAGTTATAAGTTTTTTTTTTCTCTGAGCTTCTTTACAGAACATAAATAAAAATGCAGTTAAAAGTATTCAGAAATAAAAAAAAAAGTTGAAATAAATTTTCCATTCGTTTTTCTCTCGTTAGTTACTTTTCATGTTTTCCTTTTCAATAAAATGTTTGAAATCCTTTTTAGAGGGAAATTAACACAGATTTTGACCTTCTTAACCATTTTCAATATGATTATATTAAAGCTAGGCGTTAATCTTGAAAAATTGAAATACATCCTGACATGATTTATTGAGAATTCGAATGGATGTTGTTCTACAGTAAGTTTTTGATCAGCTGAAGAAGTTTAGTAATTTGGGAGCTTATTGCTGCGACACTGAGACGTATTGATTAAGTTCAAGGCTTCTCAAAAGGAATTATTTAATTTTGATTATTTTATAGATTCAAATAGACTGTAATTGATGCTTATAAATTCTTTCCTTTGAGCTACAACAATAAAGTGTCAACTTTGACTTCTATTAATTGTGCTGTTATATCAACTTGAAATCTTAGGTGTTGAGCTAGAGTCATGTTTACCTAAACAAGAATAAGACATCTATAGTCGAGTTATAAAGCAAAAGATCAAAATTTCGATCCTCTCTTTTGTGAGGATTTGTGTTCAATTAACACAGAGGCTACTTTTTCTGAATGACAGATTCATTTTAATAAGACTCAGTTTATAAAGAGATACCATTATGCTCAGACACTGCAATTAACCTTTTATTAAATATTGTAAGATTCCAGGGGTGGCGAACAAAAATCTCGCCGTTAAATTTAAATCCACACTAACACTATCAAGCATTTTCCAAAATTAAACATTGAATTTGATTGTTTAAAATTGCCTTAATTGCATTTAAGTCTTTGTAAAGAATATGATTTAAAGGTTGACCAAGCTTTAATCATTATGATTTACTTTTCTGGAGCCAGTTTAGGCTTTCAATTAATTGATAAAATGTGAATTTTCCAAAAAAATATACTTATTGGCGTTTGTTCAGAAATTCAAATTTTTAAATTTAACGAGAAAATAAGGTAATTTTTGACTTCGGAACACAGAAAAAGGACCGTCCGCAACATTTATATAAAATTCAGCTTCAGATTATGAAAAATTTCAGTAGCTTATTCAAGCATGTCAACAGTTTTAATCATTATTCGATTTGTAAAGATTTAATCTTTTGTCATCAGTTAAAATCATAACTCTATTTTTCAGTCATTCCTTTCATTCCAATTTTCAGCATATGCATAGCGTTTGAAAATTTAAATTCTAAAGATCCTTTGACTACAAATATTCATATTTTTTTAAAAACGAAGTTTTATTTTACAAAGAATATATTTTATTGTTAGTCTTTGTACCAATTCTATTGTAAAAATTCAAACCTTACAAACTTATTCATAAAAATTGAGTCAAAGGTAAACAAACAAAAATGTCAATAAAAATCAAACAATTGATAAAAGCTTGTTAAAATCACACAAACAGATGTGAATGCTCTATATTCAGTATAGCTTATTTGTATAAAAATGTCAACGTGGAACTGAATCATTAATTTGATTGTTATAACTGAATATACCCAACATGCTTCACTCAGCTCCTTTCGAACTCAAAAATGTTCTCGAAAAAAATAGAAAAGTTTCACATAAAATTAGAAAGCCATAATTATGTGGGCTATTCTCAGTCGGAGAGTTTATTTTCTGCTAGAACTTTTCAAATAATATTAAATCCCGTCAAAAGTCTCATTTTTCGTAAACGTCACCGCAGAATGACAAATATTCAAATGAAAATATTTAATGTGGGTTTTATTTCAAATGAGGAAATGAATAGGATGAGAATTAAAATTATTTTTGATGTTTATGATGTCGATGATCATGCATGCAGTGTACACACAGTCCAAAGAAATTAAAATTATGCTAAAATTCTCATTCAAATTTTAAATGCTCTTCCGTATCTGCATAAATTCATTCAATCTCATATGAGTTCAATTCTCTCTTTTTTTTCTGCATAATTATCGCGAAAATATCAAATCGAGATAACAATTTCAAAATTGTAGACTAGCTCTACACTCAATAATGTGATGGTAGCAAATGCTTTTTAATTTTGAATTTTTAATTAATAATAAATGCTGTGCGCTAATGTAAATTATATTGACATGTGCATAGGATGTAATGAAAATTACAAGGTAATAGAACAATGAGATGTTACGTACATATTTGATTACAATTGGTAATTGAGTTTGCGATTTTATATTTACTTTTCTGAATATTGTAATTAGTTTCGTATGTCGGGGGAAGTTTCAGGTATGACAATGGATTTAAAGTTTATTTTGAACTGATATTCGAGACTGGAAGTGAGAAAATTTTGATTGAAAAATCTATAGAAACTTTAAAAATTATTATTTCAGACTTTTGTAGATTTGATGAGGTTTTAGTTCTTCTCTTACACTCATCCTCGTACCTTTATTTTCTCAGAAACCAGCGTGCTGCTTAATTATTACTTTCGCTTTATATCTGACATTACACATCATTATTTTGATTAGAAAAACAAAAATTACCAAAATTTGAACAGACATTCCCTGGGATAGAAACTGAGTCATTAGGTCGACATACTGCATTGTGTGAATTCTTGTTATTCCAATAAGTTATTAACGACATCACTCTATTATATAATTGAGAGATTAACATCTTGTGGGATTTGAACTCATGATTTCACAAAAGAGGGTAGCAGATGTACATTTGGTCACTCTCACACTGGCAGATTCGCCTCCATATGACTAAGCTGTGCATCGGTTTTTGTCGATATTTGGTCAAAAACCGGGACATGTGGACAAGCTTGAACAAGCGTGACCAGATATTTTAGAAAAACAGAAATCCTGAAAGTAAAATAGAGGACATTGCACAATTTTATTCGTTTTAGCTTTAAAAAAGCGTGACAGACCGAATTTTCAAACATTTTACAAGAAGAATAAATTGAAAAAAATCGGGACAATTTAAGTATTTTAGGCGAAACTTTGTTCAAGAAAGTGGGATAATCCCACTTAAAAGTGCGCAGCTGGACTGCCTACATAGAATTCGATTCCCTAGATACCACAAAAAGGTTCCTTGCAAAAGAGATGTCTTTAAACAATTCTCATAAATGAACCATAATGTCCATTAATTCATCACTTCTGCTATTCATTTTAAAAAAAAAAGTCAAAATGACTTTTCCTTTTTGTTCCTTGAATTTTGTATTTGTCGTTGAATTTTCTTTCAAGTCATTTCAATTTACCTCGAGCTCGTTTTCAATAAAAACTGGAAATATTAAAAGTCATTATGATTTTTGTATTCATTGAAAGGATTCTAAAGGTACAAGCATCAACTTAAACTTGAAGTGCATATTCCGGTTGTTAAATGCATTGCAATTTATTGTTTTATTGTTTCTTAAAAAGGTTGTTGAATGGTTAAAATAAAAAGGCTTAAAACAAAAGAATTTTTTTTTCTTGCTTCTTAGTCGGGAGCACTTTTGCAATTCTTTGTCATAAAGCATGTATTGAACTGCACTTTTTGCCAATATGTCTGCCTTGAAAATGGATGCAGATTGATTGCTGTTTTGTTCTAAATCAACTATGCTGCTTTTTAGACAACATTCTAATGTGTGCTGATCGGGAAGAACTCAAAGTCAACATAAATTTTGTGACGACTCAAACTGAATTTTAAATTGAAAATATAAAAAAATCAAAGATCTGACTTATTCTTTCTCGTGGGTACATCCATGTCCACAAAAACTTTGTAAACATAATTCATGCTGATATTATAACGGTTCTCCGTGCAAATAATTTGAGATGGGCTGCACATGTCTTTAGACGTCCAGAAGATGCCCAGTACTTAGAGTGACTATTGCAGACTTTATAGATGGCAAGAAATCCAGAGAAAGACCAAAGAACACCTGGATTGGATGTGTTGATAAGGAAGCTAGAGTCCTTAATATTCCGAAATGGCAGAAGGTCTCGAAGGATAGAGCAGTCTGTAGAGATCTCTGAACGTGGCAATGGGCCCACGTATGCCTCAGCTAAGGAAGTGAGTAAGTAAGCATAATTCAATAGAAGTTGTTTTACATCACAAGAAGTAACACGAAACATAAAAAGAAGAACAAGCATCAAAAGACAGTGAAAAACTCAACAGGTTCCAAATAAAATTTATTTCTTATTTACAATTTCTTTTTAATATACATAAAATATTTAGATAAAATTTCCATATCTCCGCTTTACATACAATCGTGTATGTTATCAGATCATCTCATCATATTTATATATCTCTTGTATATGGTTCAATTCTACTACACGCGCGTACAAAAGGAAATAAGACAGACCAAAAGAAATATATAGAAATGAAGGGAAGGAAGACAAAAATTGGTAAAATAAAAAGAACATTTCCCGTGGAAATTACACATTTTTCCAACGTGACGTCATCAATGCCAGTGTCTACAGGCGCATGCTTTGGAATATCTCTGTTGGATGTATCATTGACAATTGTTTGGTAAGAAAGCAAAAAAAAAGGAAAAATTATGTGTGCGAATATTTATGTATGATGAATCAAGTATCACGTTTATGCAATTATTCAGCATTTGAATTATTGCTTCCGTTACATTGAGTGTTTGAATCTCCGACCCTAAAATATTGTGTATTCGGTGCTGCCTATTTTTGAATGAATGACATCAAGACGTTTATTTTTCATTATTAGCGATTGTCATTGGTATTGATTTACTTACTTTATAGCCAGGGAATGATGAATTTAGTTTATGCTGCTCGAAAAAATTCGAATAGTCCTGAAATGATGGAGGTAGCTTTAAAGTCAGTGCCGAAAAATGATTTGTGGGAAGATTAAATGAGAATGAGATGTGCAAAAGTGAGTTTGTGGGATGAATATTATGAATAAATTAAACATCAGCCTGTCGACCTTTCATTTTGGATCCAAAAAAAAAACATAAATTCTTTTCCATTAGATTAGATGGATGTGAGGCTGTTCGGTTTTTGAAAAAAAAAAAAAATTACTAACCTTGTGCACTTTTTTAGGACGGAATTTTGGACCTTCGGCAATTTTCTTTTGCTCTTCTTCCTCGTTTACCATCTGTTGTCTTGTTCCCTCTGGTGGCCATTTAATATCTCCTCGCATCATCCTTTCGCTGTTGAAAAGTTTTCATATTTAAGAATAGAATGAGAAAAGAAAATATGAGAAAATATTAAATGAATGGAAAATCATCGTAAATTTATATCTTTTGTGGCATGAAATGAAATTAGATTTTCGCTTAAGCTGCACATTATATTATTTGTACGTTGAAATTATTCCCAAATGGAAAGAGAATTCTTCTTATTACCAAAATTATCACGGTGATTCAAATATATATTATATTTTTTGTGGAGTCTGAACAGAGTGGAATTTAAGGTATCAAGTCTTATGTAGGTGAATCTGCCAGTGGCGAGAGTAGTTCCTTGTTGACCATGTTGTAAAGCAACAGAATGAAAATCCAGAACACTTTTATATAAAGACGTGGGTTGGATTCCTTCGAGATGCCTATTCTCAATAAGTATAACAAACTTTGTCGATTTGACGATACGAATCCTATTCATTCGTTATGGGGCCGTTCACTTATGACGTCTGGCATTTAGGGGAAGAGGGAGGTCTAGGATTTTGTGACAGTTCAAACAATGGAAATTTTTTTCTATAGAATTTTTGTGACCGAGGGGTGGAAGGGGGTTTAAAAATCAGGTTTTTTGATGGACGTCATAAGTGAACGATCCCTATTCTCAGACAAGTTTTCAGTTTCAGTCATACAGCCAGAGGTTATTTTAGGGCAGTAATGTTCAACCCATGTGCTGCGGCACACTATTTTCGCACTTAAAAATTCAGAAATTTCAACGAACTTTATGTCATGTTCCGTTTCGATCATGGCATACCTTTGTGATACAAAAAAGGTTGGGAACTACTGATTTTGGTAACTAGAATGCTAATCCTTTCACTTCTTGAGAACAAAAAGTTTAGGAATTATTACAAAGATTAATTTCATTTGAATTTAGGAATAAATAATTTTTAAAGTATGAAAGCACCTATTAACACCAATCCCATCCCACCAATTCAACCTCCTCCCACCTTCCAATAATTGACTACCCTGACTTTAAATCAATAACGCTTTTGAACAGTTTAGATTCAATTTCAAATGCCATTCCGTCTACATCTCTCCAACAACTCTGTCTTTCCATTCTCATAGCAAATAAAAATTGTATAACACAGAAAATAACAGATTCATTCAGCCTTGAAGAAAAAAAAATTATGAAGAATTCAACATGATAAATTTTATATCTTCATTATATATATTTTTAAACTTGACGACTCATCATTCCCGCCTTGGTTTTCAAAATAAAAAAGTGTGAATCAATAATTTCAGAATTTTCATTTGAATTTTTCTTCATCCCATCATCATCATCATCGTCGTCGTCTTTTGTGTATAATTTGCTCGAGAAAACACCAAAAATCACACGCAGGCAAATTTACTTTGGGATTTTTTCATATTTCATTCCTTCTCATTCTCCCCACTGATTTATAATTCAATTTTTCAATCCATCACGAGATTTCAAAGTCTAAATAATGTTTATTCCAGATGATTGAACGAGAAACCCATATCGATCTTTCCTTTTTTTCTCCTCCTTCTTCCATTGCCTTACTACTTATGTCTATGTATGTATTATAAAATATTTCAAATTATTCTATTTTTCCGTACATACGTGTTCATACATATGTACATTTTGCTATTTGATTTAGATTTACATGAAGCACAAGAAAATGATAGAGAAGAAGGAAGAAATGGAAAAAAGGCATAGAATTACAGTGTAAAGTGTCTTAATGTCTTCTATCCACTTTGTTTTGTGATATCTTCATATTCCTTCGAGTGCTTTTTAATGCTTTATTGAGAAACATCAAGAAATAAGCTTTTTGTCACGAATGCATCTCAATTTTTCTATTATTTCTGTTGAACGGAATTAAATATTTAACAAGTTTGAGTAGTATGACTAGAGCGCATATGATGCAGTCTAAGATTTTGTCGATGTGTGAGTCAACTTTAGATCGATCTTTTCTGAAAAAGTTGTTTGAATCACAGATATGACAACATGAGAACAAATCAGCTCTTTAGCATCTTAGTTGTGCCTATTAAGAAAATGTTCGACAAAATTGATTTTTCTATGGATACGGCTCCAAGAATATATCAAGAGTAGATAGGCCTGAGCATTGGACTCACTGTGAGACTAGTTATATGTATATGACGGTTAGCCGAAGAGAGACAAGTACCTCGGTAGCCGAGTGGCAGGGATCTCTGATCAAGTGGTCAGATATCGCCTCTTTTGAGGTCTTGGGTTCAATTCCCATTACATTAATAAACACATAAAACAGTTGTACGGAGATCCAGATACAGACTAAAAGAAACAATCCCTTTAAAACAGTGTCATTGTAAAATTATTGTCAATTTTAGTCTCTTAAGTTCCATTTCCTTTATTCCATACAGTTTTTCATCGGAAAAATTCTTTCGAGCTATTAAATTTCCCAACTTCTCATATTCATTGATGACTATTTCCTCACAAAAATCCAAAACTAGATCAAATATTATTGACATGACGTATGGAACATGCTAATTGTTTTTTAAATGGATTAGAAGAAAAACAAAAGGAAGGAAGCACTTTTCATGAGAGAAAACTTTAATAACATGCTTAATACCATGTTGCTTTCTCTACGAGTTTCGTGCTCTTACATATATTTATTGCAATTAACGCAACTTCTCAAAGTAGTTTCTATGTGGTTATGTATAAACACACTTGTAGCCTTGCCACTAATTCCATGTTTTTTGCATCAACTTTTTTTGAAAGTTTTAAAATTGTTTCTTCATTTTTGATGTAGCTAGATGTAGCTAGTGAAAAATATATCAACAAGGAGATACAAATGAGAAAGTACGGCTGGATTGCACATACATTTCGCAAGAAAAAAAACCATAGAGAATGTCATTGTTGGGACAGAAACACAAGTTTGTTACACCGCCGTTGGTTAGATCCGCAAGAGAAAAGGAGGTCAGGAGCTCCAAAAGCTACTTGGCACAGAATAATAATGAAGGAATGTGCGGACATAGAAATTGTGTAGATTAGGTGACAGAGAAAGCAAGAGTCAGATGGAGAGTCTTTTGTTGTAACTTTAACTCCACATAGGAACGTAGTTATGTTCCTTAGTAAGTAAGATGCTGCAAAAATGAATTTTGGTATCCTAAACATCACTTAAGGTAACCCCAAGTATTTCAAGTGCACAAAGTTCATTTCCTCAGTCAATCCACGGGTAAAAAAGAAACTTTAGTCTCAAATCAAATAATTTTATATCTTGTATAATGGTACATCTGTCATCTTCAATAATCTTTTCTCGCTTGTAGCTATATTTATCTATTATATTTATTGATATTCGAGTAAGTTCGAGTAGCTCTTTTTTTTTCTCACATAAATAGAATTATCTCAAATGTAATCATGTTGCGAAAATCGCATTAGATGCATTTGTAACAATATAACCTTGTTGTTGTCTCTCTTATCTGTTAAGTATCTGCTTCGATATACAGACAAAAAATTTATGAATCAGTCGATAGATGCCAATATAAAAAATTTACAATATCTTCATCTATCGCTTTAAGCACTTTGAAGCTATAAAAAAAATTTTTTTTGAAGATGTGAAATATTTATTGCGACTTCGATGATAACGAAATCATCATCATCATCGTCATTGGCAGTTATAGGAAGCAAATGAAAGGAGAGAAGAAAAAAAGTTGACTTGAAGCTAAATTTGATGTGACATTGGTGTTTGGTATAAAAAAAAAAGTATGAAAGGATATTGAAAAATCTACGGATAGAAATAATGAACACTAGCAAATTTTATGACTTTATGCACGACTTGCGTTTTTGCTCTTCAGAGTAATGGCATTATTTCTTTCATGCTGTAACTTTACCGCCGTCATATCTAATTTTATCGAGCAAAACTTTTTTACAACATTTAGTTTTTTTTTATCGATGAACATTTTAACACATTTTACCAGCACATAGACACAAATTGACTTAAGCAACAACACAACATAATTAGATCGAAAAGTTTATTCTCTCAAAAATTGGATTAAAAAATTTTATCATAATTTTAACGCTGTTTATGAGCTTGTTTTGCTTTTATATGATTATAATGGGTGTTGTTGATTAATTATTGAGAGTTTATTAAACTTCCATATCTCATTGTTTGATGGTAATTTTCTGGTAAAAGTTTAGAATTTTGGTGAAACTTTGTTAATCGCATTATTAATAGAGCTTTAGCAGTAGAGCATAAATCTTTTAATTTAAATTTTGTGTTATAATTTGATTATTAAGTAGCTTTGTGGTCTGTGTATATCTTAATCGATGTTTAAGGAACTGAACTGGTAAGTTATCAAGTGAGTCATCTAATCAACAAATTGCTAGATATATGCTTACTAATACAAGGAATATCAAGCTTAGATCTAGATTTTTTTAAATAAGGGATATTTTTTCTGGTTATTGTAACCTATTTATGTGCATCTAAAAACTACACGACACTATTAACATACAAATTTGATCATCATAAGTTGGTTAATCGAATAAAAAATTCAGCATCAAGCTCACAAAATTCTGATATGGTGCTCAATTTGATTTGAGTCTAGAACTATGCCAGAGTCACGAAGGCTTGGTGCTCGAGTTCTATTTGATTAGCCGACTTGTGTTTTTCAGGAACTTTACTGCAATACTTTCATAAATCAATCAGATTCTTTCAATTTCAGCTCCCTCTTTCCCCCCATATCCTTTCCTCTAAAGTTATAAGCTTTTAGAACTGTCAGATTGTTATCCATAATTATGTCCAACTAAGTCTAGGCTTGACCATGGCATTGCTTTTTTTTAAATATAACAAGCTATTGATCTTTAACCTAGCTTCACTTAAGAATTGAAGAAAATTAACTGTACCTAGATATGCCTAGACAATGGTGCTGCTTGGCTAAGCTATGAGTAGCACAAATTTGACAATGTTTGACTCTTTGGCTTTGAATTGAAATTGATTTGAAATTTTCATATTAACGGGGGTTGAGAGGTTAGGATTTTTTT